TCTTGAAGAAGATTCTTCGCGTTCGCTTTTCGAGTTGTTGTTGTGATTGGAAGCGGGCTGAGTGCGTGGATACTGCGACGGCAGACGCGTTGGATTGACGGAGCCGTGATGCTGCATAGGAGTTGGGGGCGATGCCGAGTGTGCCTCTTCATCAAACAAACGGCAGAGAGGTATCAAGTAGCTACGGTGTCTCTCATGTCGTCTTTGATAGCCTCACTGCCCATCAATTTTAGAGAAGCACTGCGGTTCCGCACTGCAACAGCGGCGTCAAGAAGCCTGTCCTCAAACCATGCAGCTGGCGCCCATTTGCACACCAGGCCGGCGATCTCACCTTGGACTGTACATAGAGAACACAGCGACCTCATCACGACAGCAATCATCAATGAGAGCAGCGCAAGAGCTGACGTGCCGCTATGCAGATGCTATAAGCGAGCACAGCATCACCGCGGTCCAGCCTTTCGGCCTCCTCCTCCGCTGAAGAGCGTGACTTTGCAGCGGGTTTCCAGCAGGTTTGATCAATCCTTCCGCTCCCAGTTTAATTTTTGCTTCGCCGAAACTGATGATTCGCCATTTGTAGCTCTACGAGATCTGACGACGACCTCTCCACAAATCTGCAGTGACGGCAGTGGGCGTGCCTTTGAGCTCATTGGCCCCAGCAAGGTAGCTTTGATACGTCGCTTGCGCCTACAGCGGTGGATCGATTCAGGTCTGCATGGATCCAGAACCGGACAGGTCGCATGAACTACTGCAACGACAAGGAAGAGCATCTGGAATTAGGACGATTGGAGAACACTGCAATTCGGATGCTCAACCTTCGGGGAAAGAGCGCCGGAATGACATTGAGACACCTCTCTCCTGGACGGTGAAGATGCGAGGAACAGAAGCAAAGGCAGAAAGACGTGGAACATGATCTGGTGGAACTGGGTGCCATCGATAACAGTTGCAGGAAGCCTGCATTGGAGGCCTTTGACAATGCAGAAGAGATTCGACCGAGAAGACGCAAAGAATGGGACAGCTACCATCGCGACAGTTTGATCATATTCCTCCAGCAGCCGTCTTGATGCCACCACCGAGCAAAGTGTCTTACCATGCAAGCTGTCCGCGCCACTCTCCAGGGACGATGCCTCATCTCTGCATCATCCGGCATTTTTCCTGCGGACGATGCGGCTGCGGCAAACCTCATCTCCCTATCGAGGCCCGTAGAGCGTGAGCACTCTTCGTAAACCTACCAGAGAGCAGCAGGGACAATGTCTTACCGTGCAACATCCAAGCAGAGAAGCGATAGGCACGACGGGACGGCTTCTTCGCCACCTCTGCACGGAACTTTGCTTCGATGTGCAAGGTTGGCCGAAGAGGAGMAACGTTACCTCAGCTCTGCGGGGCCATGGGCCGGAGACGAAAAACCGAAAAAGAGGGTGCGGTCAAGAGGAGAAGAGCGGGAACGCCGACGATCGAAGAGTTGAAGCTCACAGCCGACTACAGCGGGGGCGATGCAGCGAGGTAGCAGAAACGATGCGGAAAAAACGGTGCGGCAAGGGACCAGTGACACGGAACAAGAAGCACTCAGATCCTCAGCTCCCACCTTGACCTTGGCGAGGACATCAATCATGCAGTCTCGTAGCCTTGCTCAGGAGGTCTTGTAGTAAGCAAAGGTGCCAGGACTCGGGCGGAATTCTCTATCGATGAGATTCCAAGTGACATACAAGTGGGCATGAAGGAAGACGGGCCAATACGCTTGACTTTGCTTCATATCTTTCTAGTGGAAAAACGCAAGTCAGCATTATCACTTCAATGTAAAAGCAGCATCCAGATCCCCATGGCTGACGATTACTCCTCGCTAGCTACCCCGGCACATCGGTGTCCAACTCCTCCACTCTCACACTGATGGCGGTGACTGTCTCATCAACACTGTGCTCCCGAGCCTCGTCTTCAGCGCTGTGGCTGTCTGGAAAGTTTTACTCGCAGCACTGGACCAAGCAAGCACCGTCGGCGAGAATGAGAGTTCAAAACATTTTCATCAGCTAGCTCTGTATTGACGATGAAAGTTCTGTCAAGTTGCGTCTGCACATACCTTTCAAGGTATGATGGTGAGCAAAACAATTCAGAGCGTGCAGGGATGAGAAAGGCAAGCAGAAGGGGAGCAGCAGCATTTCTGAGCAGTCATATCGAAGCACGCTATCGTTGAGCATAACCGCTGATATGAGGATACCTCTGCAATCTCTTCGACCACCAACAACCCGGCGGTGACGGGACGCGGGACCATCTTCTTTCGCAACCCGATCCTCTTTCCATAAACGCAAATTCGAAAGACAGCTTGGACTCCTCCCTCTAGACGCAGCAGAATGATTTCCTCAAATCGCCATGTCCATCGGTCCTGATGATAGGGCGTCGTGTCTACCAACTTGTACATCGTGGAAAATCTGGTCTCAAGCAAGAACTCGAGAGCATCGACAGTCAGCTGTGAGCAGAGAATGATTCCGATTCCACCAGGCTGCATGTTCATATTGCGCTCCACAGCCAACGAAAGAGAATTCCCAGTCCCTCGTCAATATGGTCAAGAAATGACAAGGACTTTGTTTCGGGCGCGACTTCGTACTGAAAACGAGATCATGGCCCCCGCTGGCGCTCAGAGAAGGAAAGGGAATCACAAGCTGCGTCCATGTATCGAGTCGCAAAATGATCCCGAACCTCTCTGTCAGAACTCCAGGCCAGAATTTCTGCTATGCGGACATCAATGCTGACGCCACTGCTGGAGCTCATGCGATCTTAGTTTCGGTGGGACGACATCTCATCCAGCTCGTCAGTGAGCTCCCCGGTTCGACTTCCTAGCAGTCGACTTCCGGACGCCCATGAACCACTGCACAAAATGCTCCGTGAGCAGGTTTCAGAGCGAAGGGGATCGGAAGGCCTCGACGGGGTCTCGGAGTGAAATGAAGATTGTGCTAGCCGGCGCCCACTCTGACTTGGGCTTGTGACTTACGCAATCATGCTCTTATTTCACACTCACAGCGTCGTCTCGCGGCTTCACATGATCACTGCCCTGCCCGTGTCAATAAAGACGGATTTTTACTGAGCCCATCTCGGGCGCGCAGGGGAAAGCCAAACGTCAACAGAGCTGACGGACTCGGCGGCGCGAGGTACAAGGCTGGAACCCACATGCAGGCTTCCACCGGCGGTGCTGTCACATTTAAGGTTGAAAGATACCCCTAGAACCTCTTGTGATCTCTCAGCCTGTCGTCCCGAAGAGTGAACCAGGTCGCGCGAATGAAGGAAACAAAGACGGTAGCTCATTCGAATGCAGCCAACAGTATCTTCCTGACTCCCTCACGAAATTTCAACGGGTTATTCCGTGGTTTTCACAACTGTCTTTGTCCGTCGACCTGCGCCATTGTGGGCCGGTCTTTGAACCGTAAAACTCTGCTTCTGTCTCCTACGTCTTGCTCTACTACCAGAATCAGGCTCACAAGCAGGGAGTCCCCTATGCTTACGACACTGGCATTCATTGGCAAGACAAATTGGAAGTCAACGACACGAAAATGAGGCTCGGGGGAAAGGAGCTTGATGTGCGGACGAAGGTGGTGTTTCCGAGCCACAATGGGCTTATGCTGCATCTACGAGCCAGGAACAGATACCGTGAAAGGGTTGCATGGTAGTCAATGAAGCTGCTCGCAACGATACTCGGTAAATTCCTCGAACGGACGGCAACCCCAGCACGGCAGGCACATGTCAGGGAGTTGGCAGGGAACGTTAGGTAGTCCCGAGCAAGCCAAGGCCCACAAACAAACGTCCGGAGGCTGTTCGATGGCAGTGCCGGATCTCATCCGATTATCACGTGTCACCAGCCCGTCTTCTTGCTCTACTACGCCATGCTTGCTCTTTGCACAGCCTTAAAAAAAGACGGTGAGTCCAATTACGATGAAGCAAACACAAGACCTGTAGTTTGCCCTCGCGGAGGGGAATAGTTTGTCTATGGTGTGTAAGGGATGCTTTGGGAATAGTTTGTCTATCGTGTGTAAGGGATGCTTTCTATCTCCTGATTTATATGCTTCCCTCTTGACGCCCTACATCTCACTATCCGTCTCTCTATCTCTCTCGAATCTCATCTTACATTTCATTCAACGGTATACTACATCAAATAGTCTCTATACCCAGCAGCCAGCCAGACATGTTATACACAGCACACGATRCGATGCCGACGACGCAAACCCTCGGCCTGTCATGAACAATATAGCGCTCAGATTCCTAGACCCCTCCCCGTGGAGACTTGCCTCGTTACCACGCTGTCCATCTCGACATCCAAGATGAAGCGCTTCGCAATGCGTTAGGACCCTGTGTACTACTCGCAGTATTGCCTCCTTTGGAGCGACGACTCTCTCAACTTGATGTCCTGTCCGTAGAGCTGTCGATATGAGAGAATCATCAAAAAACCCGCGCCCTTCACTGCTCTCTCCGTTATATAACGAGGCACTCTACTAGTAATATATGTTCCAGCAGCTCTAGAATCGTCACTCCTGCGGAGAGTAAGGCCTTAAGACGTCATAAAGACGACTAGAAGTGTCTTGTCTCGATGAAATATCCTCATATCGACAGCTCTGCTTATCCGTACTACTCCAAGTACACTAAGGCCGTGAGGAAGTCCCTGCGGCTCGACAGTACCGACGAGATCCCCCGGAGGCATCCTTTGTGACTGGATCCGATGAGACCTGCGGGTGGCTTCTTGTGGTGTAGAGTCCTAGTAGATTGGCGGCGAGTTTCTTCCACATGCCGATTGTGATCACGAGCCCTGCGGGGTGACGTCGCAAAGCTTAGAGTTTGACATGACAGAACTTAATTGCACGCTAAAACTGCCGCGACTCTTTAAAAGTCGAGCTTCCAACAACAACCTCTTCCTCCCAACAACATCTCCACAACCTCGATCCCTTCGCAACCCCTGACACCAGTACCCATCCTCCCTCATCAACAGTCACTCACCCATCCTCCCTCATCAACAATCACTGAGAATGATGTCGGACCTTCTCGCCGGCCTCAGCATCTCCAACGCGACCATGCGCGTTGACGGCGGCACTCTCCGCATCCGATTTACACCGAACCGCGCAGAGGATCTTATCCTCGACCGCCTGCTTGTTATCGAGCATTTCCCAACCCTCGCGCCCACTCTCCGCCACCTAGGAGAACCGCATTATAACCCTATGTGGGACAAGTCGATACTCGAGCGCGTCGAAGGCGGTGGCCCAGACCAAGAGGTACGAGTGACGACGCTGGCACTAAATCCAGTAGAAGGCACTTTCCTCCTCGAAAGCGAGGTACGTTTTCTTATGTCGACCCTTCAACATGGCGCTGACTTTACACAGGACTATAAACCAAGCAATGGGTCCTCGTTCTACCCGCTTTTCACGAGATCTGAGCTCGGGCCGGCTGTCTGGCAGACTGTCTCCAAGGAGTTCTTCAACCACCGATCCGATGCGCGCGTACATGCCATCGAGTCACACATCCTCCTCTTCAGGCTCCTTCACGATCAGGAGCACACGTTTCGACTCGAGGACACCCATTACCGTCCTTTTACCGAGTCGCGCGAGTTTTCGACCCTCCTAGAAGCATGCGCATACGCGCAATACTATGGAGGCCTGCATGCCATCTCGAGCAAGGCCGTTAAGATGATGACAGATTGTAAGGACTTCTGGGAGCTCCTGAGCCGAAACTCGCTTGCAATGCTTCGCTTTTCTGTCATCCTCGAGTCCAAGGAGGTATATCTTGACGCTTTCCGCCATATCATGGCCAGCCTCCGGGTTTCCGGCGGGCTCACGGACTTGCACAAGCAGATGGCAAGCCACCTCAATCTCACTGAGGATGAGTTCTCGCTTGAGTTGGATCGGCTGAAAAGCGAGTAGACCGGAATGATTCCGCGTCTTGCCATCGAGCTTCGCAACCTGACGCTCGTGCCATTGGATGTCAAGACGGCCGGCACCTCAATCCCTGTACGAACATCGTACTCCAACGTCCTTGACTACCCTCTATTGAACAGAAGCTCGCGTGAGTTGAGCCCCTACACCTCTCGTTGGCTTGCTGGATCGATCTTTAGCAATTGGTTGATCCAGCATGAGTCTGGCGACCTAGTCTACACCTCTCGCTCCGGCAACCCTCTGTGTCGACCAGCTGGATCTTTCGCTTCGACAATCTCACAGATCGAGCATTGGGCGGCGAAGAAGTTCCCTGCCGATCTGTTTGGTCAACATACCGCGGAGAAGATCTTGGTGTCTATGGGGCACAATCCTTCCTCCCCCGCGATCAAGCAAGTCAGTACTGAGTTGAGACACATTGTCTTGGCAGCGAACAGTCTGGTCAAGAAGGCTCTCTCGCCTTGTGACGTGGAGCTGAGCGACGGGACAGCGGTAACTTGGCGTCGTGCCCGGTACTCCAAGCCAGAGGCAGAATACTTGACGTTCTTGCCGCACAACGAGACCACGTTCCCTTGGAGCTCTCAAGATGCGCTAGAGGAGTTCTGGGAGGAGGCTGTCGACGAAGTTGAGGGCCTGCGGGAAGGGGAGGAGGAGCGACGCATCGAGTGGGAGGAGAAGAAAGTCAAGCGGGAGAGGAGGCAGTTGCGTCGCGCGCTTGGACACGTCTTCACTGACGAGGATTCTTCCGACGGCACGGAAGACGAATATTAGGCTTCTTTTGGGAGGATGACCAAGCGCCTGGGGGAGGGAATCAATGTGCGAGCATTCAATGGGATGTCAGTTGACAACATCAAACGCGGCTGGCTGGGTGTTATTGGATTTTACATAGCGGAACAGCGCATTTTTGAGGTTGTTTATTTTGAACTTTGAGAGCATGTAACGTTAACGGGGACCCGCGGTGTTTACAGGCGTTTCCATTAGGGAAAAACAACATCTTTTACTGTCTCTTATCAAGGTTTCTCCCTGTATGGTTTGGGATCTGGAAGTAGCCGGTAGCCGGACCGGAGCTGTCGATATGAGAAATCATCAACAAGAGTAGCGCCCGGACCTGATCTCTCGACTGATYGAAGGCTACTCTGCTAATAGCAGGGATCCTAATAGGCTTTGAACCATCGAGCCTGTAGAAAGCAACGCCTCGGGACATTAATGGACATGACTAAGGATGCCTTGTCCTAAGGAATAATCCTCATATTGACAGCTCTAAGCCGGACTAATGGATCGCCGCTTGTATAATACCTAGTGATGATAGTGATCCCAAACCCTCAGTCTGCGCCTGCTAATACTAGTTCGTTCTTGGGTATTTGCCCAGGGGTAGGTCAGTTCGCAGCCCTTCCTTAGCCCATTGTCCTGACCAAAACCGTGATCATCCTTGGGAAGGGAGAGAAGATTGCCGCACAAGATGCGAGGAGACCCAAGAAAGTACCTTTATGGTTTATCCCGATACCACTCGCCAAACGTAGACCCTGTAAGACCCCGTGAGTGGGGTGCTCTGGGATCTGCCGTCAAGGTCGGTGCGGTTCGCGAAGCTTCTTGGCAAACACTTGTACACTGAAAGCTTGCCCACACATCTTCTCTTCCACAACCTCACCTTCCACAATCTGAACCTCCACATCCTCACCTTCCACAAACTCAACTTCTCCATCGAGTATATACACATTACCTTGTATATTCCATTAATGATACTTGTATCTATGTCTGAACAAGCAGTAAGTCCTCCTTCATGTCGAGTGTCACTCAAGCTAATGCGCGGACATCCAGACTTCCACCGCGCCAGTCATGGACGACGCCACGCGCAACCGCATATGGTCCGCCAAAATCCAGCAGCTCCGCGATGAGAACGAGGCGGCGAAGAACGCAGTCMCAGACGCGTTTCCTTGGGCTTTTGCCCCATACACCAGCGCGCCCAAGCCGGAGACCAACTTCGCCCACCTACCCGAGCATGTTCAAGTCGAAATCATGGCATATCTTGCCGTCGACCTACACGTCACCCTCCGCAAGAAACCTGACGCCACCGGCGCCGGATACCACGATGAGACGGTCGCTTACATGCTCAACGGCGACGAGTGGCGCGCATACGAAGCGCAGTTCGTCGTCTGTAAAGCGTGGCGCGAGGGTATGAACGCCGCCTGGAGACAAGAGCTGACCAGCAAGCGCATCGCCATCGTACTTGACATGCGTGACTCCGTACGCAGCGCCGACGAGCGCGCGACTGACGAGTGGTATACTATCGCCACCGTCACCAACGAGGCTGAGATCGACCGTGCGCCGGCGCTATATCTTCAGCAGTACCTCGCGCTAAGGATCGTCTCACCATACCTCGTTCGCAGTGTGATCAAGCTTTTCTCTGCGACACTCATCCGCCCTTCCGCCGGCCACCAAGTTGAAACTTTCGCAAATCCGACTTGGAAGACGCTGGAAGGCTCTCCGAACGCCGACCTCGACCTTGTGTTCGCGGGTATTGAGGGAAAGGTCTACCACCACATCACTGAGGGAACAGACTTTTGGGAGTACTGGATGCCGGGTCACTTGGCGTACTTCCATGATGTGATGGCAAACAACGCAACCAAAGACGTGTTACCAGGGCGCGAAGATCTCCCTGCTCCCTCGAGCATGGCGGCCTGCTTGCGGGCGTATCGCGGGCTTATGGCTCGAAAAGCGGAGTGGGAGGCGCAATTCAGGGCACAAAAGAAGAAGGCTGAGGATTGGGCTGCAGAGGGTCGTGCTCGACATGTGAGGGGACGAGGGATCGAGTGAGTGGATGGAGTGATGTCGATGCTTGCGTTCGTTTGCTTTATCTTCGGCCTGCTACCTTCTGAATGCAGAGCGCCTTGGCTGATGTTCAAAATATTCTACTCGCCTCCAATCCCCTCGTCTTGGCGGCAGAACCTGAAACCCAGTCAATATCTCAAATGTTTGATCGCAGTAATGATGAGGCATGACATCCTCTGGCCAAGTAAGCAAGGAAGCTTTCAGTGTTGCWCCATGTCTACTCCCCCCGGTGTTCGATGTTGTTCTCCGCGCAAAAAATGCCTTATTCCCAGTGTGCTTGCGTCTGGATTGACTTACTTGTAATTATGGTAAACTCAGCCGCTCTGAAGCTTCCGGGGTTGAGATAGCTTGGAGTAGACGATGGTTCATTGCCGTGTTCGCGACGTTGTTTGCGTCCCATCACTGTCTATCACGTCGTCTTAGGTGTTAAGAGTGCTCTGCCAACCTCAGGCTTGGGCGAAGGGCGATAAAGACGCGCCATAGGAGAATGGCCGACAATATCGACAGTTTACATACGTGTTCGGCTCTTGGCATCGGGATCACCCAAAGCAGATATCACGGCTGAAGTCATTCGGATCGGTGACGATGATTCTCTTCGCGATTCCTGTGGAGAGGGGTTGGAGCCAAGTGCGGCCCCACTTTCACTCGCGCTAAGGCCCGTACCGCTCAACACTATTTGGACTTCAGACTCTCAATCACAAGCTTGACAAAACACCAACAGCAATCTCCCGCTGCAACCTCGAATGCTCAAAAGCAACCCATCATCACAGAATCGTCACCTCCTAGCAGTTGACGATGGCTGAGTCCCACTCCAAATTGCAAAACACGCGTGGTGGTCTCCGGATCAAATTGACCGAAGATGCGACCCAAGATCTTCTCGTCGATCGCGAAACGATTATGAAGCACTGTCCGACTTTGGCACCAACGCTTCGTCATTCGGGGGAGGACAGGTATTGCGCCATCTGGGACAAGTCGGAGCTTGTGACGACTGACAACGGCGAGGAAATACGCGTTTCCACTCTCGCACTCAACCCGGTGGAAGAGACATATCTTCTCGAAGCAAAGGTACGAATCTGCGAAAGTCGAACTGAACCTGTCTATCACTAACACATGCAGGCGCTATCGAAAGCGACACAAATTCCGTGTTCCATCCCATTCAGCTGCTCGGACCTTGCTGCGCCTGAATGGCGGGTCCTTACAATGCAAGAATGTCAACTGGAACCTGCGCGCATATCATCTGCCGAACAACACATGATCCTCATTAAGCTCCTCCTTGGTGAGCCGCTCGAGCCGCTCAGAGGCTTTTGCGGTTATGCTCCTACGAGCTACCTCGGCCGGTCTCATTACGTTACAAAGCGCTTCGACTTCGTCAAGCTCTGCGACCTGTGCTCCCTCGCCGACTACTATGGCTGCCTTTCTCTAGTTGCCCAAGAGGTCATTCGGTCTCTAGGTGATATCGGTGTTTTCTACTCTTACGTCCAGCTGAGGCCCTTACTCTTTTGCGGCTTGCCGTAAAACTGGAATGGTATGGGCTCTACGTCGACGCAATGCGCTACATCATGACTTCTCCAAAGGGAATTTGGGGTTCGGACGGTTCCGATTCGAATGAAAATATGCAGGCCCTTGCGGAACATCTCGAAACATGCCTCGGGGATCTCCAGGCGGAAAAGCAAAACCTAATCAAAGCTCAGACGGAGGCAATCAACAGCCTGAGAGAAGATCTTCGCCGACTCCAGATTCCCACTATTACCAGACATTCATCAGACACGCACCGGCGTAGTGATGGTGTCCGGCCATCAACCAGCATCCTTGCGACTGCGCAACCCAAGCAACATGAGATTGCTCAGCTGCTTGCGTGCACGGCTTGGGGACAGTGGCTTGTAGCGATGGAGTTAGTAAAAGGGGGATCGTTGTCAAATGATCGCCTCTTCAACGTCATTCGGGGTGTGGACTTGGCTATGACCACACCTAATCGGCCCGTGGAACAGATGACCGAGATACTGGAAGACGTTGTGTTGAATGCGGGCTATGGCGATGAATCCGAGATGGAAGGACATGTAGAGGCGCTCTTCATGGATATTGTGTCGACGGCCAAGAAGTGCATCGACAAGTCGTCCTCCGTCCATACGGAGAAGCATTCGGACGGTTCATTCGTCACGTACCGACGATGCAAGCATGAAGAATCGTCAACTTTTCTTTCTCTGGACGAATCATTGGTCCCCTGGAGATCTCCGGAGAACTTGTCTGGGTTTTGGCGAATTGCGATCGACCAGATGGATGCTCAGGCCGACGAGCACCGCCTGAGGAGGAACACCGCTCGCGATCTGCAGATGGAGGAGAATCGCCGTTTCGGTCTGGCAGAGCGGGAGCGAATGGAGAGGAAAACGAAGGTGGACAATTTCTTGTGGGAAGATGATTTTATRGGATTGGCGGGCATAGATTGGGAAGAAGATTCTGACGACCAGGTTTGAACGGCCAACTCGGGGCGTGGCGTGCAAAGCCGCTTGGAGAATGGTTGAAGCGGGGAACATTCAGGCAAAGCGCTGATCATCCCTGTAGTGTGATTTCCCATGCTTTAAATACGAATGATACGACTCTACGCTTGAGTGATGTACCACGATTGTTGACAAGTACTTACGACTCACTGACAAAAATATCGACATTTTCACATCACTATGACTGTTTTTAGCGATCAAAGCACGAGCTAACTTGGCTCATCATCACACGAATTGGACCGAAGTCCCCCAACACACTTGTGTGGCTTCTGAATAAGACCTAGCTGTATCTTTTGCAGGAGGCCGAGACGCTCAAAAGTTGGGCAATGTCACTGTGGCACTGTATTTCTGGTGAAAGGTCATCGTTGTCCGATTCTATAGCCKTTCACAGTCTTCTTGGTCTCGGCAACTTCTCTAGGGCAGCAGAGTATGGTCAGCACATTGGACCATGATCTTGTAGCATGAGATGGAGGTCAGAGTTGCGCATCCGATATTGTTTTCCCACTCTGAGGGCGATCATGGAAAGCTAACAGCCCCTCTGTGACCGACTCTCTGGTCTCGCTGCTGCTTTTTTGGGATCCGAATCTGCACTATGTAGAATTCTGCGGATTTCGTCCGAGAAAGCGGGATGAAGAACTTTCCCCAAAGATGCAAGTCCAATCTTGAGGTATATGGCAAAGTAATGACATGAGGGTTCATCGGCCCGACTGCTCCTCATTGCCAATCTGAAATTGGGAAACGAACATGATGAGGGCTTAGAATGTTCGAAGTTATTGAGGAACGAGAAGAGGAAGAGAGGAAGAGTAAGTTTTGGGAAAGCACGTCAATGCTGTATCAAGTCGTAGGATCATGATGAGAGTATGATGAGAGCCATTGGAAGGGTTCCTTTACCTACCGTATACTTGCAGTCGCTGAAACGCCTTCTAAGCGCTTAAGCCATCCTGTTATCAATAGCGGCACCTTCAGAGGCGAGACTCCCACGTCATGTCATGTTCACCTTGCTGTCAGGCGAGATATGGTGATCAACAGTGGAGCTGTACAGCTGTCGAAACAATGCGTGTCGAAATCTTACCCAGGCAACAAGGCTTGCTTGTTGAAGACGCTGGAGTATTTGTTTAAAGGGAGGCATCTCGCTGTCGACAAAGTCGTCGTGAATCCTTAGAGAGCTCAAGCAAGTTTAAAGACAGTCTATCGATCAGCGCGGGTCGCTCGTGGTTTGAGAACGAGCATAGYAGGCCCGCCAACAGAAAAGTGTCGTAGTTAGCACTACCGAGCGTGATATTAGGAAGGAGGTCAATGGTGTAGGATAGCAGTGTATGGTACGCCTCTGACGAAATGTTCGCGCGCCGTCTATGCAGCACCGTTCTTCCCACCCGAGAGTCCCATGTACTTGCATCGTCAGTAGTTCAATAGAGAGAGAAGGAAAGGAGAGAGAACGAAGGGAGAGAAAAAGAAGGGAGACGAGGAAGAAGAGAGACGAGGAAGTTTCAAAAGACAACATGCATTTTTGCAAATCCCATAACGCCGTTTTCCGATCGCATTTCAAATCTATCACAGACCGATAGAGTTGATAAGAGCACAATGGTGTCGTCTCTAGATATCAGACGTCCATAATCAGAAGCTGAGATCTCCCGGCTGTAACGAGGACCGACCAGGCACCGAAGTGAGTCTCCGACCATCCTCCAGGCCGACGATGATCCCATCGTCACGCAGTACCGCTCCAAGCATTTTCACTCGGCAGCCTTTGCACCCTTCAACCTCGCCACCTCCTCACGCAAATCCTCCATTTCCTGCTTCTTCCTGGCCCGACCCTTGGCAACAGCAGCCGTGTTCTTCTTGCGCTTCTCAGTCACAGCGATATCCTCCTTCACAGCCTCTTCTCCGCCTTCCTCCTCAGACAACTTCTCTGCCTTCTTCCCTGCTCTGGTGCGCTTTGCTGGTGGTGGAGTAGTCTGTACAGCCGCGCCATCTTCACCGTCATCCTCTGGAGTCAATGCTCGCTTCTCTCCGCGCGTCTTCTTTGGCACTAGCGGGGAGGCGGCCACCGGCGTATCCTCTTCGCGCTCCGCGACTTGCACAGTCTTTGCCATCTTCTTTGACATTGATACGGACTCGGCCGCCACCGGGACATCTTCGCCCTCGTCGTCTGGAGTGAGTGCTCCCTTCTTCCTGCGCGACTTCCTTGGCACTGGCCGGGGGGCCGCATCCGTTGCACCCTTTTCGCCCTCCTTGAAGTGCACGCTCTTCTTGCCCTTAGCCTTCTCCTTTGGGATTGGTGGGGACTCAGCCGCAACCGCAACATCTTCCTCCTCGCTGTTGAAAATCAATACGCTGGAGTTGGTCTTCTCCTTCGCCTTCGTCTTTCCTTTGACCTTGAGGATTAACTTCGGGGGTGAGTCTTCCTCGGACTCCTTGTCCTGGTCTCCGATTGCAGCTTTTCCCTTTTTCACCTTTCCATTCTTTGCCACCGGCGCGGAGTCCGACACGAAAGCATGCTCGTCGATCTTGCCCGCCTTGGCCGAAGCTCTACCCTTTCCCTTTCCCTTTCCCTTTGACTTCCGCTTTGGCTTTGGACGAGAGTATTCCTCGTCTTCAWCATAGGTGCCGAACGTGTTGAAGTCACGGAACTTCACTACGTTTTCGACCTTTTTGTCGAGTAGAGCGTCGAGCTGTGACATGGCGTTAGCTGTAGTTCGACCGACAGTGCGCGCTATACGTACGTCTGCGGCATGCGCCTTGACACTCTCCATCATGCTCTCCACCGTTTCCTCCACCAGATAGGTTCGATCGGGAGGCGGACGGTCGCCAGCAAGCGCCGCCTCGAAGGCGCGCTGGATCAAGTCACAAAGAGCAGCGTTGTCCATGTTGTGATTGTGTGGTTTGATGATTGTGGAGTTGCTTTCGTTGTTTTGACAAAAGGTGTATGTCGAGAGGGGCAGAATTGAAATAAACTTTCTATGTACCTCTTGCGCCGCGCTAGCAAACGAAATTGTCAATGCACGATTTCAGATATTAGACCACACCACCCGTTTACAACATTCCTCCGTTCTCTACATCACACCATAACTTCCATCACCATTTCAAAGATACAGTATATACACATCATCAAACTCGACAAGAAAACATCGACAAGCCCCTTTTCACCAGCAGATATAGACAAGAGTCGAGGAGCTATTTAAAATGGTACGAATAGATGCGGTCCTCCAAAACGCGCACAGCTCATATGATTCTCAGGCCACTCCCACCGCAAAGAGGATCAGCCGTGTAACCGCCGGTTCCGCCGCCAAAGCGTCTTCCTCTGCTGCCACCACTTCCACTTCTGCGACCATCTCCACTGCTGCCGCCGGCTACCCCAAGCTGACGCAGCCCGTGAACGAAGAGGAAGCCCTGAGTCAGCTTGCTCTTGCCCGTGCTGAGCTCGCCGCTGGGGGAGACAACGCCGCCGCCCTGGTCGAGGACCTTGGCCAGACCATCTTCGGCAAAGAAGCCTTCAGCATTGCCAAGAAGCCGTACGTGCAGTTCCCAACAGAGGCTGAGCTGAGAGAGCGTCGCGAGAATGCGAAGTTTCACATCTTGAAGTCTTGGGCGGAGTTCGATGAAGCGGGAGATGCGAAGCACTGCGGAGATTTGAAGCACCTTGGGAGAGTCATCTATGGCTTCCTTGAGTTCGACGAAGCGCTCAAGGAGTTCAACGAAGAATAGATGAGGCAATGAAACGCGAAGGCCAGCCATGCGGATTACCGAAGCGGCTATTGGGGAGAGCATGGTACACAGCTATGTGGCGAGTGGCATTCTCGTTGTCCAGCGTATCCTGAATCGACTGCTCCTGCTCCCCGTATGCATTATCTTATCCCCTTGTGCGGTCTGTGAACTTGCCCAAAAGAATGGACGGCATAGTTTGGCGCAATCCCTTGTTCTCAATCACTAGAGAACTTTCTTCTGGCTCCTTTGTGCTCAAATTTAAAATGGCCTTGTGCAGAATAATGCTGCACGGGCCATCAAGTCGCACAAWCCAGAATCGGCGGCTACTTAACCTTCAATCTTCCCCACGAAACATCAACCTCATCCACAACCACTTTTGCGTCGCGTACTTCACCACTTCTCCAACATCCAAGTTCTTTACACACAAGCAAAGTCACACGCGCAACCAACCTCCAAAACACTCGAACACCATCAAAATGGTTATCAACAACCCTTCAACCTCCAACKGCCTATGGTCAAACACTAACCCCACCCGACAGTCTTCCACCAACCAATCTCCCGCGCGCAACATCCGCGGCGTGGAGAACCTCATCACCGAGCCAACTCCCATCGTGACCTGTCCTTTCCGCAACGGCTTCCAGCGCATCAACGTGGAAGCTTTCATGGGCGAGCAGCAGCTCCAAGACCGACCTCTCGCAGTACGCTGCATGATCAGCGCTTGGGCTAGCATGCTGAACCTCGGACGCAAGGGGGAGGCCAAGGCGATCTGGGAGATGGGAACGAAGGCTTTTGAAGAGGGGATCTGGGAGAGCACCGTTGAGCAGTGCTTGAAGGGGTCGAAACCGGATGGTGAGCAGGAGAGTCTTGAGGAGGGCGGTGTGCCCGTGAGTGAGAAGTAGGCGAAGAGGGRTGTGTGGCCGCGGACTTTGGTACATGACTTTAACGACTAGGATCGTTGGAGTCTGCTTTGCTATGCAGACAAGAATCAAATACAATCACCAATCATAAATTCAACAATGTCTTCTTCTTCTTTCACCTAGTCTGTGGTATCGTCCTCATAAGCAAGATGTCTCTCTGCTTCTACTGCATATGGCGAGTTAGGTAACATTGCAGGCGACAGGCTGAGAGGAAGCTCATGTTGACAGCTTTGAGGTCATTTGACTGAGGCGGGCGGGATCTACTCGGCAGAAACCGAACTTCGCCGCAAGGTCGCGTGTCTCGCGTCTTACTTCTTAATCTCGAATATCATCGCTCGACATTGTTACTGGTGACTCTCTTTTTGCGCCGGTTGTGTCTCTGCGTTCCTTCTTCGACGCATCAACAAGCTATACACCAGCATATTGCACTGACCGTATAGAAGAGCCACATGGAGGTGAGTCGATTCTCCCATGCTAGTCGCACCTTTGATGCACATGGCTAACAAGTTCATAGATCGCCACCATGCTCGCCCTCGGCCCCACCACACCAGGATCCGGCGTTCTGCCAATGTCCACCCTCTGGATCACATTACCAGCCGAACTAAAAAACCTCATCCTCGAGCATGCTATCCCAAAGCGACTGGACCTCAACCTCAAAATATCTTTGTATCATCCGACGTGCGCACCTGTAGTATTGGGTCAGGAGGAGCTGGAGGAATGGGACTCCACGATCTTGGAATGGCATCGGCTTCCTATAATGACTTCAATCTCCCGTGACACCCGGAAGCAGGCTCTTCGCGCGCTGAAGAAGCACACCACCATCTTTCTCACTTTAGACAGACGCAGCGGTCAAAATCTGCTGAGCCCGGATAAGTTTTACTTCTTCCCTTGGTTCCAATGATGCAAGAAGATGTTGTGCGAAGAGCAACGATACCTCAACTGCTCCGTAGAAATCCCCGATTCCTTGAAGATTATGGACAGGACGGAGCTTCGCGCMACCATCTCCACAACATTCTGCTTGACTCCTCCTTCCTACTCTTCCTCTTCAACTATTGCTTGGGAACTCAAGACCAAGCATCCGACTGCGGTTGAATTGAGTAGTATCCGCCGTCTGATTGCTTCGTACGATCCTAAGCCGAACTCGTATCACGTTGGAAGAGTCAACGAGATAGTCAACCAGACCTACTCTGGTAAACCTCATATTCGTGTCTTGGGCATGGCCTCCTTTGCAGTTGAGTCCATGACAAATAAGCTCCCAGGCCTGGGCTGGAGACCACTCATCACGGACGAAGGATTACAAGACTGGCCTGAGAGCCTCGACATAGAATGGATGGGAATCGACCTTGAGATCTTAAGGGAGTGGGAGAAGAATATTGACGCCAGTGACTAAGAACATGATGACGAGTGGGAGATAGAAACGGCGTTACGAATCTCCTCTAATGTTTCTGCACAGATGATTGGAAGCAGCGGCAAGGGCGGCGTATGTATCCATTGAAATTGAAGAGAGCGTTTCGAGATGATGAGAGCGTCACTGCTACGTCAAGGGCATATTGAACGCGTTCGGTAGGGCGCCTTGGTTGCGTTACAAAAAAATTTCCACGCTTCGGGATGCAAGTGATCCAGCAGCAGCAACCGAGAGGGAAAACCGGATCAAACTCGCGATCACAGTTCCAGGCTGAACACCGGAGTTCTCATATTGGGCGAATGGAAGGATCTCTCTGACCCGACTCGCACCTCCAAGGCGAGTCGGACACGCGCGCTGCGGTGGATCAGAAAGAATACACATGTCACCATGCTCATATCTTCCGGCTCTTCATCACCCTAGCTTTCGATATACACAGAGTGGACACGTCGCTGCCGTGGGTTCGAGTGGAAGAGTGAAGCGTTCTTGACATTGTTCGTACCTATCGACCAGCTAAGCTCTCTGCCGCGAATCTCTTACAACTTTCGGATTACCATGTCTTCTAGATCTCCGATTCAGAGCGTATTGAACGACCCAACAACTGCACAATKGCAGAGCAAGCTCGAAGGCTCTCCAGCGCAGTACCTCTCGACCCGACTTACAGACTGGAAATCCACCCGGCTCGCAACTAGTGATCATCGTATCCTTGGCCTCAATCACTTCGTGGCCGCTTTCGACCACACAAATGTCGTAGAGGAAGAAGGGAAAGGGTTGAGTGCTCGTCCAGCTTCCTTGAGATCTGGCCGTCGAACCCACATCTTCCTATAATCAGCTCGCAGTATCCTGCCAATTTTGCTTTGCCACGCCAATACATTTTCTTCGGACTACAGCCAGGTGCCGGATATAAGATCTCCCATGAGAATGATTGCGGGATGGTGTAGTCGATGGTCGGCAAAGGAGAAAAACTTGAGATGCACAAAGTGTTGTCGAAGTTACCCCTATCTGACTTTGACACGAGCGAAAAGGTCTCATGCCTCAGCGTTGAGCCTCAATAGGCAACATGGATCCGGCTTGGGTGTGGAAGGACGTTGGTGAGCAACCTCTACTACATGCGGGAATGCGCAATCACAGAGGAGGACAAGAAGACCACTGGCGAACCACAACTCTGGCTTCACAGGCCATTACGAAGAGGTGTATTGCTCGGGTAAAGTAATGTGACGCAGGCTACTCAGTCGCGCTTGAGTAGAGAATGCGGTGCAACACCGCATTTCCAGGGGTCTGACAGAGCACAGCAAAAGGGACGCATGGACGGCACATAATATCCAATACTTTCATTCAATGATCGCGATATAGACCGCTTCAAAGCTTTACTAGCGGTAGAATTACCAGAGCATAACACACAATCCAAGTTTGATGACCTTATTGCTGTGCTGATGAATACATTTGCGCCTTTCTTCGCGGTTCATGGGTCTTCTTGAACTCGTGAAGGAAGCTTGGAAATGTTTTGCTCCCATCGTTGTGACTTTGCAAGCTGCTGTAGCGGACGAAGTTTACAAGCGCTGCAGATTGATGCTGGATTAACAGCCGAGATAGGGCTATTGGGCCCTGTGGAGCAGTCTGGCTGCGGGCTTGTAGAAGATGTGGTTGTGAGGCAGACCCCGGCAAACGCGACATCCACGAGCTGACTCCTGAAGTCCAGTCGGCACTTTCTTCTCCAAGAAGCCACATTTCACCTGGCTGGCAACAATGTAATCTGGAGTCGTGTTGGCTTGGGGAGGATTTGTCGAAAAAGGCTGGCATGATCAATTTTACGTGTGTAAGTCAGGCTGTCGTCCAAGTAGATGGAGATCTGTGACCATAGCCGTAGATCGAGCAGATCAGCTTCTTCTTCTTCTTCCTTTGGCATCAGTAACAGCAGATTGCGATCCCCGCCAGCGCTGCGAGACGCAGCAAGAAGACTGTCGTTGTGAAGTATAAGGAGACGCATCACCGGCCGGGCACGCCTTCTCGTCGCAAGGACCCAAAGCCGAAGAAGGGAATGGACGACAGTACTATCCCATTCCCCATGGTATCCTCCAATCGCAAGGATCCCGCGGGGGAGTGTGTTCCGTTATCCAAATATGAGGGTGCCATGGACACCCGTCGGGATGGCTCGGTTTCATCCTTGTATTCCACCTCACCACCCGCTTCTATCTTTCTAACATCAAGATGTTAAGCAGCGGCCTTGCTATGTGTTGATGGTGACGGCGGTTAGGTTCAGTCACTGTACCTGGGTAGGCAGTCCGAAGATGTCGCGGGCGCCGAGAAGCCCGCTGGACTCGAGCGCAGTGCAGCGTCGACGTTGATGATTTCGGGGCCTCGGTGCTGGGGTATCAAATGTCCTGAGCTTGAAGAGAATGCATTTGAAACTGTCTGACATGCCCAGAATGTTTGAGGAGAGCYCTGAGTAGGTTGAAAGCCTGTGGTAGGGAGCTTGATCGTAAGTGTAACGAGATCTCCAAAGCTGACCGGCACTGATCACAGGAATGTCGCTCACGGGATACTCGTCTCGTTAGCCCGGAGCGGACGGTAAAGTACGGCGGCACTGTTGTGGCCTTGTAGATGTCGTGGCCGACGGATCTTGGGAACAGCTCAAGTCAATGCACTTGTGCAACAGCGAGACTGCCGAGTGGTGTCTGCGAGCTGTGCGATGGTCAATAACAATTGACCTAGTGAGCTTCCTGGTCACAGACTCCTTCATGCCGCATCTACGGCCATCTATTCTTACACACGAACTGGGTTTGAGGGCTCTCTTTTCCGCCAAGCCCTCGTGCCGGTTTTGCTTGATATCAAATTGCTTTTGGTGTAGCTTCGGATGTGCTGAGCACTCCCGGTTGCGCGCAAAAGTTTTACAGAATCCGCATTGGGTGAGGAGTAAGATGAGCCGGAGGCAGCGCCGTTTCGTTCAGCTTCGTTCTATCACTGCCGTAGACTATTCTCTGCCCCGGTTGTGAGATTGCACCGGAGCCGTCGTCCTGCCAGGTCGGGAGCTCTGAAACATGGAGAGATRAGCCTGGTGTGATGTCTGAAAATTTTCTTCCGCGGTGGCGAGACTGGACCCGACATGAGGACATCGGGCAGTGGGACCTTGAGCTTGATCAGGTACGGAAAGAAACAATCTTCTGAGAAATCCTGAGGCAGCAAAGCCTGTGGAACGATCATAGAGGACAGACGGTGCGAGAAGCTTTGGATGCGTTTATTCGACGCTCACTCTGGCGTTCTAGCGGTTGCCATTTCATGTTGTATTATACAAGTGGTATGGTAGACGTCTTTCTACAAGAGACGAGGCCTCTGCCTTCGCTTGTTTGCTGCGCGGATTTGCAGTGGAGTAGCGGGCAGTCCGATTGCTACTCGATGGGTATTGCGCAATGAGACCAAATGGAGCTGCCTCTAGTGTGTGGAGTCATGAAGGCAGCCAAAGAAAGAGCGTTGCTCAAGCCGCCGGGGAAGCTGGTCGCTGCAGCCGTCGAAGATGAAGTATCTACGACGCGTCTGTTAGACAACAAGGTACTTTTGCTCCCAGGTATTTCGATCAGGTTCTCCGTGATCCCTTCGGTACTGTCTCCCAAAAAGTCGGACAAGGAGAACGTGCTCGGAATGATTGGAGGAGCTCCTACGGGGGACGGATGAGTAAGAGATTGAGGCGATGACCAGACGCGTGAATGCTACCCAACGTATAGCCTTCCTGTGGACCTGGATGTGCACAGTGGACGTGGGATCTGACACGTCCGCAGCAGCGGTTTTGGCCGTCCAAGCTCTGCTCCTTGAGTGGCGCGGGGGTCCGCTGCGAACAGCTATGGGGAGCGGATTGGATTGTTGGAATACAGTCCACGTCCGCAGCGCTCGCCGACAATGCCGTGACCGACTATTCTCACGCTTAGAGTGGACTCTGAAGTAATTATCGTGGGTTGTGGTCGGCGGTCACTGACGTCGATCTCGACCCTTGCCGAAGCTCCTCAGACGACACGACGAAAAGATCTCCCCAGACGTGGCGGCACAGCATCTCCCATGAGTCGATCAATGGAGAAGGCTCGAAAACAAATGAGGAAGAAAGGCCAAGTACAGACAAGAAGGATGAATCGAGAATGGAGACGAACAGACCAGATGCTGCTTCTTACAGCGACCGCTTTCCAATCTCAAAGTATGCACACGTCCTGCTTGACACGTTTCAAGTCAATGTGTCGCCGTACTGGTCAGCATCTCCAAGTGTCACAGAGACGGGACGCAGAAACCTCTTCCCGGAGCCGGATACACACATTCCGGGTGGATAGCAGTCGTTCATTGCTGAAACAGCCCTATCTGGAGGGCGGATCGTACAATCTCTCTGCGTCTTTCCCATAGAACCGTGAAATCTTCGCAATGATCGCTGAATCTCCAAAGACCATGTTTCGAAACTTGATGCAAATTTTTTGAGATGTTGCTCTCCGGAGCGCGCTCCAGCCGCCGGCAGCGTTTTGAGACGTTGTTGGAGTGCCTCCTCGTGAGCCGGTCTAGCGCTCCAAAAGCCTTTGGATACTCTCATGAGTTGTTTCAGCCTGACTGCGTCGCATAGGAGGAAGTTAAACGTTGCTGAGGTTAAGTTCTGGGTCCGCGGTATGTTAGAATGGCGAGAGTAAGCATCATCTTCGTTCTGAGCCCGACTTCATTGCGGCAGCGATGTTTTACCGTTGGCGAGGAATGATGCCATTCTTGCAAGGTACCGTGAAGGCTCTTCGGTAAAGGATGATATGGGAATGGTGATCATGTAGATATAAGTCGACTCTTGACTGTGAATTCCACGCTCACAGACTCCCTCCATTTGCAAGCAATTGCACAAGGGAGATATGCCTGTTTCGCCACCGTCCCTCGCGATCAACGCTCTGGGTCCTGAACAGTGCGACTCGGCTCTCTCATTGTATCCTGCTGAGTCTCACTATGTAATCTGAGGGATGGATATGACTGTGTATGCC